CAGACCAATGAATTAAATAACAATACATAAATAAATAGGAGTTAATATATAGGGAGCCTGTAGTATGCCCAAACGACTTCCAAGCCTCCAATAGCCTCAAATGCCATAGCCAATTTCATGTCTAAGTGTGTCAGAGTTCCCTAAGGACCTCAAGGATCACAAGCAATGCTCACACCTAGACCTTTTCTCAAATAATAACTGATTTAGGTGCAGTGTGGAAAGGCCAGCTCTGACATGCCAGAGTTCAGAGAGATCTCAAGGGTCTCAAGGTAGTACACATATCAGAGAGGCAAAACCTAGTATTCTAAGAGTAAGTGGAAGTGCATAGCAGTTGAAAGGGTCTAATAGAAAGGTCTGAATACTGAAAAAGAACTTTTGAAAAACCATTAGTGCTGAAACAGTTTGAGGAAAAGTGCGAAGATAACAATTGGCAATCAGAACCAGGTCATAGAACAAGTTTATGAACAACTTTCACACAAAGGGATATGGGTTGGGAACATAGAGGGTATCTCTTATTAGAGCATACAAACGACATGACATAGGGAGTTTTGAGAGGGTTCTATAGATGCAGCAAAGATCACAGCAAAAACATGCATCACACAACTAGAATTACTTTAAAGGGATTGACTAACTTAGTAGGAATGAAACAGAACAGGCAAGAACTTAATGAGCATGTTGGGAAAGTATTAACAATGGAAGCATGCTAATTATATAGAAGCGGAGTTTAGGAAGGACAGTAGTTAGTCCAAACAGGCTTAAGTTACATATGCAGACATGCTAAACAAGATAGCAAACATGCAAGTAAAGTGGAATCTGACTAATCATAGGTTTGAACAGGCAGTATTAGACATGCTTGGATAAGCAGTAAACAGTAACAATAACAGACTTAGGCCATATGAACTAAAGCAGTAAGTAAACACATAGTTTTGATTCTTAAAAATTTAATCAGAAGCACACCTAGTTAAGGAATAAAAATCACAAGATGTGAGAAAGGTAGTGTGCAACTTCCAACCGACTAGAATGGCAAAGATCACAAGTAGTAAAAAGAGCATAAAGAGAGCCTTTTAGAGTGTAAAAGGTAATGGTTTTTGAACTATTGTTCGTTGTCCAGAAGTTAAAATAAGAGGGGGTTTATATAGTAATCATAAGCTTAACAAAATAAGGTGAGAAATAAATTAGGTAGAAAATTAGGGAAGTTCGTGGAATCAATCACACATGTAAATCAGCAAGTCCTTCACTTAATCAAGGGATAATCAAATCAATGGTAAAAGCATGCTAGGTATTTAAGGAAAAGAATCAAGTAAGGTTTGGGTATAGAGTAGGTAATTAAGGGTAAATGAACAGAACTTTCAATTAAGGAAACAATCAGTAAGAATCGGCAAAATAACATACAAGGCAAGGAAAAATTAATTAAGGCAAGCAGTTCAATTAAATCAAATAGTGATGTAAGAATCGAAAGTTTAAGGGAAAGTGTTCAAATCAAACCATGAAATAAGGAATTTAGAATAATCAAGGGTTCAATCAAAGAGAAAATCATGAAAGAGTCAGCAAGTTTAGCATATAAAATAAGGTAAGACATGAATGGTGAGGATTCGACACATAACTTTAACAAAACAAATAGTTAAAACGACAATGATTCAAGGAGAAAGATACAGGTCATAACATGAATAGTCAGGATGAAAACAAGCATATAGAATCAGTGAAAGGTCAAACTAAGAAATTCGGTGAAGCATATTAGGACAAGAAAATTACGAGAAATCACAGGAATCCAAAGCAAGAACACAGTCGATATGCCAGTACTCAGAAACCAAACGAAGAACATCAAAAAATTAGGGTTTTAGTACAAGCGAGTTAAGGTTGTAACAAACTTACAAAATCACTCAAACATATGAGAAGCAGAAGATCAAACACTAAAAAAAATCATCAAACATTTTGTAAAAAGAAAATCCGGAAACCCTAGTTTAGAAAAAGATGAAAATCACTTAAAAATCATACGTTCTTGTAAAGAATCTCAAGGTTGTTGTAAAACCCACATGAAACAAGTCCAAATCATCTCAGATCTGTACAGATCTAAGAGGTTCACAAAAAGAAATTAGGGTTTCGAAGGGAACAACACAGAGGTGAAGAAACATGCTTAGAAACCCATAGAGCGTAGTCAATATAGGACGATTTTACTCGGAATTACACTGAAATGGCCTGAAACAGGTGAGAAAGTGACCATATATGTAAGCCAACTAGCCCTGGTCCCTTGAGGACCCTAGAGATAGCAAGATTAACATGAGGGGGGCCATTGGAGGCCTGGGGGATGGTGAGAAATCATCGGAGATAGCCGTAGATGAGTGTTAGTGAGGTTTGATTAGGGTTAGGTTTGAGAGAGTTTGAGAGAAGAGAGGGGTTTCAGGGCGGTTGGTGGTGGAAATGAAAGGGTTTGGTGTGTGTGTGTGGTGGGGGGGGGGGGTCAATTGTTTTATTTTAGGAAGGGTCATTTCTGGCCGTTGATCTCTATGATCAATGATCGAGATTAATGGGTTTTTGGGACGGATCGGGTATATGGGTTTGGGATGGGTAATTTTAATTGGGATTGGGCTGGTAATTGGGTTTAATTAGGGATGAAATTGAAATAAAAATAGGCTAGATTTTAAATAGCCACTTTTAATAACTATATAATTTATAAAAATAATAAATGATTTCCACAAAATATTTTCGCGTACCAAAATAATTTAAAATAGTTGTTTCACATTTTAAAAATATAAAAGACCGTTTTATGCATCAATAATGTAATTATGCATTAGTAGGGCTATTATTGCAAAGATGTGCAATTTAGCCTAAAAATATAAATATAATTACAAAAAAATGCACTAAAATATTTAAACACAATTTTGGCATAAATAAAGAGTTTAGATTACTAAATCACCAAAAATATTAATTTGAAGGATAATTATTGGAAATTTTATAAATAAAAAGAGAAGAAATAAATCAATTTGGTGCTTTTAAAAATTATTAAAAAAAATTATGCATGCTTATAACGGCATATGTGCTATTTTGAAAGTATATATATTTAAAAAAAAATATGAGAAAAAATTGGGTATCAACAATTATCCCATTTGGCATGCTAGAATTTGTAGACAATAAATTTGCGTCGAGAAAATAAAATCGAGACCGAAAAATATCGCAACAATTGTAGTATTTTATTTCAAATATTTTGAGTATTACAATATCTATGAATCCTCTAATTCTTCTTTACAATAGTAAATAAATTCAAGGGCCTTTGAGCTTGATCTTGAATATGTAGTTGTTGCCACGAACGATGATCTTGTTCTTCAGCTTGAACTTGATTGTTTGAACTTGACCTTGACTTGTTCTTCGTTCTTGAGCTTGAACTTGATTGCTTGATGCTTGAAACTTGTGGAGGAATTTGCAGTGTTTGATCCACGAGCTCTTTCTTGCTTCTTGTTATAACTTCTGGTGTCTTTCTGGGTTATGAAGACCCCTATTTATAGTTGTGCGAGGGAAGAGTTATGATAAGAACAAACTCTTTCCGACCAATCAAATCGAAGTGTGATAAGGCCGCATTTCATTGGCCAGAACATGTCACTTGCACACGTGGCACGATTTCATTAGTCTTTTAATGTGACTTGGCATGCCTTGTTATTTTAACACGTGGCATGATGCTATTTACTCTTCCGCTTGACTTGGCGTGCCACGTCATTTGACACATGGCACCGAATTAGGCCTCATGGAAGATAACATCTTGGGCGTAGTGAAGTGGGCTCATCACTTGTAGCCCAACTAATTGTGCTAGCCCGGTCAATATTTATTGGGCTTAAATCATTAATCCAATTATATTAGTCCATAATTTATTTTGGACCAATATATGTAAAATATAATCCAAATTATTTAGGGAAATTACCAGCTATGTCCATTTATAAGTAGCTCATTACAAAAGTTGGTCATTTGATAAAATATTACTAATATTAGCCAAATTAGCCAATTAGCTATTTGTAGCAAAAAAATATCAAATTTTTGCTTTGTTTTGAGTGGGTGTTATTAGAATAGATTGGGCACAACTTAAGGAGCTTGAATCTCGGTTTTGGGATGATTTGGTGAAGTTTAGAGGTGGTTTGAATTGAAAATTCGAAGTAAAAGCTGAACATGAAAAAAAATATTATCTGTATCACACTATGTATCATTTGTGTATCACATATGTATCAATTATGTATCACATGTATACCCATGTATACCTGTGTGTGAGATACATGTGTGATACATGTTTGATACATGTGTCGCAGAAGACTTTTTTTAACTCGATTTAATTACGAATTTTGATGCAAACCAGTCCAAATCACCTCCAATCTTCCTCAAATTTTGTATATTGACTTGTCTATATATTTTCAATGAATTTCAACTATACTCATTGAAAAGGTTCCTTTTTTGTTTAGATTTTTGGAATCTTGTATAGATTTTTGTATTTCATCACCTTATTTGCTACCGCATCCATGAAATTGTTGCTAATCACACTAAAAAATATGGAAGATGATTTTTGCATGTGATTCTTCGAGAGTAAGAACCCTATTATTTGGTTTTTCAATTTTTGTTGGCTAGTTTTGATAAGTCTATGACTAATGGCTAGAGGTGGTAAGTTGAGATTTATTTGGGACATTTGTGTAAGTTTCTCAATTATTTATTTAATATGAATCGAATAAATTTTACATGTCTACAGCAACAACGTATTTGCAACACGATGAATATCTGGCAGGGCAACTGGAATAGGAGCACCGTGATTATCTGGTAGGACAACTGGAATTAGAGCAACAGGGACAACATAAAAATTGGTAGCATCAACTTATGTAGTAGTACTATTTGCGTTAGTTTCTTAGGTTGTAGGAAATAAATACGGGGAAATAAAAATTAACACTGCAATATTATTTATAAGTGTATATACAAATGACTTGATTCGTGTTGGGCACTATCCTAAAAATAACTTGAGTCGTGTTGGACCCTGTTAAGAATTATTTCAACTGTTTAAAATATCTCCCCCAAGATTATACAAGACTGCCTCAATTTTTAGAGAATACAAGAATCAACAAAATCTAAATTATAAATCCAGCAAGTTTGGAAAAAAAAAAATAAAGAAAAGAAGCTATAAAAAAAATGGAGACAGAGAAAAAGCCAGGCGTGAGGAGAAAATATATGGAAGGAAACTCTCTTGGATTGTCTGCTGAAGTCAAAATTGTAACCTTTTTATGGTGAAGCCTTCACATGATAAGTGGCCAGACATCTTCTTGGTTTGTCGCTTTGTTGTCAAACTAATATCATGCATTTTGCCAGACATCTTCTTCCCATTGCCACTCTTTCTTCTTGCAAGGACACTTGGCCAAATGAGCCATTTGCCCACAAAACTTGGAAATACTGTCACAATATTGGGATCGAAATAGTATAGTGCATGCGAAAGCTTACAATGTAAATTTTGATGGACGATAAATTAGAATATAAAAGAAAAAAATACTAAACTAGACTTAATATTTTATTATAGTTTGGTCAATTAACCTACATATGATCTGTCACTAATGTGAAAGGTTTTTTTGTTGTTATTGCTGCTGCGTGAGAAGGAAACCTCAATTTATAAAAGTGCAAAATTTCTCTTCCAATAAAAGGATAAGGCATATTTATTCCTATGAGGTCACTAAGTCCTTACCACACAAAACTTTTATGTGGTGACAACTTGACGAGCAGTGACAAAAATCTTATGACTTTTCTGTTGTCGAATCAAAGGCAGAATTTGAGCTTTCGCCTTGTACCCTGCAATGAACAATACTACTATCTGTTAGTCAACAATATATAAAAATCTTTTTAAAAATCAAAAACAGAAAACTATGGCATCTTCTTCGCAAAAGATTTTACTATTAAGCTTAGTAAGAGTATAGATGGATTAGGTAGCGGCGGAAGCAGATTTAGGAGAGTAACTTGTATAAAATTTAAGAGCAAAGAAAACTTTTGATATGAATGTTTTCAAATCAAACTATAATCAGGTTTTTTTTCCGGTTTGACTCGGATTATTGGGTTGGTACGGTTTATCGATGTTCTTTGTACACCCCTAATGTTAATTGAGGCAGAAAAGGGTAGTGTAAGTATAACAATATCGTAATTTATTTGGAGCATTGGAAAAGAAAAGAACAACCCTTGGCCAGAATTATTATAATCAATGGCTTCCTCGTATTCTCGTAGAAGCTCACCCCTCGGATTGCTAGCTGTACATCCCTAGAAATTTCAACAATCAATAAGAGGTTAATAAGAAAAAGAAAAAAAGAACGAATTCATTCTTCTCTCAAAATGTTAATATGGGATTTTCTTCTTATGTAAATTAAATTAATCAACTATGGAAGATAAACCCTCTTCTTCTTGAGAAGAAAATTAACTCTCTTCTTCCTGTGAAAGATTCTTGAGAAAATGAACACTCCATAACTTCTCCATTGTGTCAATTGAGAACAGTGGCGGAGACAGGATTTCAGCTAAGGGGCTCCAGAAAAAGAGAGATAAAAGTTAAAAGTATTAAAAGGGAAAAATTATGCGACACGTCGAACATTTATACTTATTTACCATTCGTAGCTATATTTTTAGAAAATTTACTAGACGTAACTATATTTGAATTTTATAGCAAATTCATTAAACAAAAAATTAATTGTTTTGAACTGAAACAAGAGAGTAGGATGCTTGTAGCTTAGTTGGTTAGACGGCTCACTTAATGAAACAAGAGAGTAGGCCTGATGCTTGTAGCTTAGTTGGTTAGACGACTCACGTAATTAACAGAAGTCTTGAGTAAGACTCTCAACAAGAGCATTTTATTTATTTGTATTTCTGTATTTCTCCTTATTTGTATTACTTGCACGAACGAAGAATACAATCGATACGCCCTAGCTTCAGAAATATAATATAATCACATGCTCTAATTTACATAGGATTGTATTAACCTTATTTTAAAGACTAGTGAAACAAATAAGATACATATTGAAGTACATATATGAACATAACATGGATTAGAATCGTATGCTTATGAGAAATTGACGAACCTGAGTCATGGTGCGGGATGGTGTAGTGAAAAATGAAGGTGATAAGGGCATGGTACAAGCTGTTGATTGCAAAAACTGAGGACAGACTGGGGCTTGAAACTGAGGCACCATTTGTAATGATGAATTAGAGGTAGGCAGGGCAAATGGAGGAATTACAGTTTGATTAGCCATAATTCCATTTGTTGGCTCCATTCGAGGCATTTGCATCATCCCAGCTTGACTCATATATGCTTCTTGGGGCATTAAGCCCATCCTCATTGATGTTATCTGTTGTTCCCCAAGTGCAAATAACTGTCACTACATACGCTTGATAATGAAGTTTAACAAGTGAGATGGTGAGTTTAATCGCATGTTTGGCCAAGCTTCTAAAATCAATTTATTTTACAAAGTATTTTTGACTAATTAATTTGAAAAGTATCTTTGAACGTAAGAGGAACTATTCTATATGTAATCTTCAGAATAGAGCTCTGATACCACTCTAATGAAAGCAAAAATCCTGAGAAAACGTATCTAGAAGAGCTTGAGGATTTCCTAATTTCACTCAATTAAATAAACTATACCCTTACAAAACTTATTAGTACTCCTACACAGTTGTTCAATTTTAATGTCATTCTCAACTCTATCCCTGACTGGGTCTTTGATTTCAAGCCCTTTTGAGGAGGGTATCTTTTTGGTTAATATCAATCAGTATATATTTGATCAAACTTTTAAAAAGTGCTTCAAATTATATTTCTCTCAAAAGTGTTTTTGGGGAAAAGCTATCTTTTCTGCTGCTTCAAAACTGCTTCTGCGCTACTCAAAAGCACTTTTTTTTTTCTTCCTAAAAGCTTGGCCAAACACTTCAAATTTGACGTTTTGCGTTGGAGAAAACAAGCTATACGTTCTGTATATTGACATTGTAAAAGGTTTTTATACCATCAAGTCAAATTAATCTATAATTGTACGTGATTGTTAATACTAACCTGATGTATAACTGGTTAAACCTGATATATATATATATAAATCTTTGAGACGATAATTTACGACCAAGTGCTAATAATGCTATCAGAAACATGAACCATGACAAATGGTGCTAGTCATCGTATATCTAGTCCTAACCATTGTCAAGATCGAGCGGGAGGATCATACGATTGGAAAATTCAAGCTACTTCTAATAATTTAATTAGAATAAAGTGAGATGAGAGAGTTACTTGATGAAGTTGCTGTAGAGCTTGAATGTACTTAATGGCATCATCTAGTATGGACGCTTGGTCAACCTGTAAAGAATAAATACACTTGAGTGTATTATCATTTAAGACAATATCTCTTAAACAGTATATTACAAATTTAAATAGAGGGAGCAATTCTACTTAAGTTTAAAACAACAGAGTATGCTAAAAGATCTAATAATAATTAATTACCTTGTCACAGCCAGGAATCAGTTCTCGCAATGCTTTAATTCTTTTATCGACTCGTTCTCTGCGCCACTGCTATGCAAAATACGAAATTTCAAAAGTTATGGACACAAATTCGGTTTAGGTTTGATTTATCACAAATGTCCTCGCAGACATGACTAGTTTGCCACTTAGTAGCAACTAGAGTAGCAAATGAGTGATAAAGTTTAAATGGGTGATTGTAGTGCATTATCAATCAGTGGTGTAGGCACCATCTTGACTCAACCCGTTTTGACCTGCCCAAAATCGACCCAACACATTTTACTAAAATTTTGGGAACTTGAAATTCTTTTTTCCTCAAAACATGATCATATTCCATAAACAAACAATGTTTTCAGAATTTTTTTTAAAAAATAAAACCAAAATCTATGGCCAAACGGAAGCTAAATGTCACGTGGAAAATGGAGATATCAAGGTTTGCAAAAGGTTCCACTGTTAAGAACTTTAGATTCAGAATTAATGAATTATATATATTTATCACGGCAATACTATTTTAGGAGAAGTTGCAATTGCATTTTGGTGCGGTAACTAGAATCAAAGAACTCTAACTAATGTCAGTTATAGGTACGAGAATTAGCTAATTTGTAGGACGACCATAGCATAGAGCCATAGACAATGATAAATAAATACAAATAGTTAAGCAAGTCAATCAACATAGTAAATAATCCCCAATTTCTCTAAAGATTATATCGGCCCCCTCTAACCTTCTTTTGTTTTCTCAAGAACAAGAATAATAAAAGTAGATACGTCATATGAGGTAAGATCAACCAACTCTTTTTTTTTTTTTTTGTGATCTTTAGACTATTTCTAGCAAGAATCTATAATTGTACAAAGATTATTGTTTTACTATTTTTGGTGCAATGAATTACGAAAGCAAAGAGAGGTGAAATATTAGCTTGTCACTGTTACCAGTTGAAACCCCACCATCCTCTTCAAAATTTCAACTATAGAACTCATCTGTGAAAGGGGCGAAAACAGTGATGATCATAATTCTGAATTAGGTTTTTTGGGGCATAACGCCATAAGTTGGAGTTGGAACCAGAATTAGGTTTTTACGGGCTATGTGGAATGAGCGACACCAAGCCCCGCGATGATGCTGCGGCAGTTCGTGTTGCTCTGTTTTGTGTGTAGAGAATGGTGACATGAGAGTATGGTAGGAGAAACTGAACAACAAAATGGTACTACAACAACAAACCCATTATATTTCCACGGGTCAATAGCGAAGCTAGGAATTTTCCGGGGTTCAAACTTGGAAATAGTGAAAAAAAATTCTGACAAAGGATACTCAATATATATTACGTAATTTACCTATATACACAATATAATTTTGCAACAAAGGTGAACAATATATAATTGACCATCCTTAACCCAACGCAACTTTGCCTAGCGTATATGCAAACCTTAAAGTAGAGAGCTTTTTAATAAACCTAGACTCAGAAAAGATGAGAAGAAAAAAAAAAAGGGAGAAAAGAATAAGTAGAGCACTAAATAGCGAGAGTAACAACAAAAGAAGATGGTGTTAGAGAGAAATTCTTTTTTTAGCTATCCCCTAAACAAAAGTGAGAATCACTCTTGTGGCATATCAGTGTGTTTTAGTAGCGTTTTGCGTTTAAGAATTACATATCTTTGGGTGTTAAGAGTCTCTAATAGGAACAAGAATTAATTGAGGTATCAAAATGAAAGTTTGTGTCAACTTTAGGGGGCCCTTTTTAAAAATCCCTTCTTACCCTCGCTCAGATGTTATGTGCACCAAAAGAACTTGCATTAATTATCTGAATTACATTGCAGTAGACACATGACAACAATATAAAAACAAATATATAAATAAATAACACTCGAGCCCTTTGTATGCAATATTTTCTTTCAATTCTGATAATATTAATTATCAGTCGTTGGATATGACGGAAAAAGGTACAATATCGGCGGTTATAAATATAGAGAAAATAATATTAGGTGCTACTTACTCTTGTGGTATTCCTGCTATTGGATTCTCTCACATTGTGTAAGGAATGATAATAGTTAAGCATTTCATCCGTATAGTTACCATTCTCCGTTGCTAAATTGATTTCATCTTCACCTTCATCTTGAGACAAGTCTTGTTGCTTTTCAACGTCATTTTCTTTATTGAACTCCATTATATTTTTGCTACTTTCCTACTACCTGTGAAGATGATATATAGCTACTTCTTTACTATCTAATATATAAATAATAATAATTGAAACGCCGACTTTATAAAATACTAAACTAATTGAAGCAGCTGAAATGCTTAAGCAAAAAGGAAATCTGTGTGCTTTAAGTTCTACTTTCTATTTTCTTTTTGTAGTTTTGCACAGGTATTCTTGCCATATACCTACATGAATAGTCTTATCCCCTGACATTGCTTCCTCCCGAAGGGTTGGGATCAGATCAAGCAGTAAAATCTCCACTGCTATTCAATACAATATCTCCCCAGTCCCTACTCCCCAAAATAAGAGACCACCGTAAGATTAGCGGTCCCAAAAACTACTCTTTTTATATGTAATTTAAATATTTATTATATTTATTGTTAAATAATTAAAAAAAATTCAACCATCTATTGCTACCTTGTCACCATTTGATAATCACATAATTTTATATTTTATGTTGTTTTTTTGTAGTTAGTTACTAACTTACTATCTAGTTCTTCTTATTTCAATTTGAACAAATTTTATTTACAACTCTAACATTGTAAGATATTTTCTTTTAAGGACTCCGTAAGCACGCTTCAAGCTAATTAGATCGTAAAACGCTATAGTTGATTTGTTTATCATCTTTGTAAATAGAAATTCCCACATGATTGTTACTTTGGGAGGCAATTGTACACCGTGAGTTATTTTGACAGTCGTGTGGGAAAAAAATTCAAAACTAAATTTTATCTGGGGTTAGTAATGTTTCAATAAAGATTAAATGGGTTGATCAAATCGTCAAGATTAAATTGCATCTCAAAAAATAAAAAATAATTATAATAAACTTCAAAAATATCTAAAATTATTAAAATATTATAAATAGAATTGTATTTATGGTGAATGTCTATATTTAGAGAAATTCTAGGGTTCATTGCTTGGTGGCTAAGTCACCCTCTCCCTAAAAATAGAGGGTTCTATTCCATTGTAATTCATCCCAAATCAATAAGAATTCTCTATCTCTACTTTTCTCTGTAATACTCTTCTTCTTCTTTTATTGTTTCATAACACGTTATCAGCACGGGACTCTAACCAATTGAGTAGAAACTTTGGGATTGAGCATAATGATTGTCAATTGTTCCATGAACTTCCTTCATGATTAAATTTTGGATTTAAGGTAAGTGTATTACCGTATTTTTCTCTTTTATTCTATAATTTGATTTTAAATACAAGCAAAGACAATAAAATTTGATTATAACTGATCACGCCCAACTATGCCTTATAAAAAGGACTCTGCGGACGTTGCAAATATAACCCGAGTATTACGCCCAGGGTCGAATCCACAGAGAGTTAACCTATCAACCACTATCTTCAGACCCACTAATTCTTCAGAACCAGCTTCCCAAATATTCAAATCTCAGTTGAATGTTCTTTAACAACTACTCTTGCAAGTAACTAAATAGCTGTAAACTAAACTAATAAGGTTGTAAACAATTATGATAAAAAGCTAAGGCAATGATTTCCCCTATTGATGGAATCCCTTCTGTTTATGCTCATACAAATTTACCAACACATCTCTATCAATCATGAACGCTAATCTTACCGTAAATCTCTCCCGAGTAATCACAGTAATTTACTATTGCTCTCTCCCGAGATACACTAGCTTACTTTATTTAGCACGATTCACTTTAGATTACACCCAAGGCTTCGTTATTCCTAATCCCGCCTTTAAACCCGCAATTATAGATTCCTCTAATAATCTAGGAGTGGTGTTGTTCAACAATACCCTAAATATGCACTCTTTTCCAAGTTATGCACACTAGATAGGCACAACTAATTGAGGATCCTGTCAATTAACTACAACAAACACGAAGTTGAACAAATAGAGATTAAACTAACAATTTGTATTCACATAAAAAAGAAGTTCATCACCCAATAGGTTCCATCAAAACCTTAGACAAGGAATTTAGCTACTCATGGCTATGAGAAAATAAACTAAGATAGAATTCATCATAAAAATCAAAAGTAAATAAGAAAGATGTTTGGAGTATTCTCTCACAATGATTTTCCTTGCTAAGAAACCTTAAAAATCAATATCCCCTCCTCTTGGGCGAAATCTAATGTTTTAAATAGGGTTTAGGTCTAAAAATCCCGTATTTGACACTTTGACCCCTGAACTTTTCTGCGCCTGCCGCGGTCGCGGTAGAACCGCGGCCAATCACCCTCTCTGAATCTCTAAAGTTCTGAAGCTTCCTTCCATCGCGGTTCTGCCGCGGTCGCGGTAGATTTGCGGCCAAACCATTTTTCTGAATCCTAAGGGCTGGCAGGGCGTAGCTTCATCGGGAATTTACACATTTGGCCTCTTTTCTCTAATTTTGACTCCAAAACTGCTCCTTAGCCTTCCTTATACATATATCACCTGCAAATCATGAAAAGCACTAATAAGAGCATTTTGTTATCACTTTTAGCTTAAAACTACACAAGAAGGTGATTATTTAAGGTGTGATTATAGTCAAATTCACCTATTATCAACACCCCACACTTAAACCTTTGCTCGTCCTCGAGCAACTAAACCACACTTCTAGGCCTAACTGCTCAATGCATTGCCCCAATTTATGTCACACCTGCTATTATTAATGATCGACCTAAGCCGTGCACAATCATACCTCAAATGCAGACTCTCATGCCAAGACACACTTGTGCTCACTCTAATTACTCTAACAAAAGTGAAGACTCACTTTTTCTTCCCGAGTCACATGCCCTCACATAAACAAAATCTGAGAGAAGTTCCACACACATAAAATTCAACAACAAGGAACCATATATAGAAAGAATTCACTCACTCTCAGCGAGCATTCACATGCCACACAGACACACCATAAGCTTGCCCCTAGTGTAATACTCTACTAATCGAGCCATTCAGTCAAAGATCAAGAGGTCTTTATAGGTTGTAATGTGGGCTAAGGGACGGGTAGGATATATTTGGATATAGTGACTAACCTCCCTAAGCACTTTTAATACACACTTCCTTTTGTTTCACCATTATGTTCAACCCAATCATCATTCCACATTTTGTTTCACTTGTGACCCCCACTTTTCTTTAGGTACAACTGGCTTCTTCTTTTTTTTTTCTTTTTTTTTCCAGAGATTTATTGTACACTGCCAGTTCACCAATCAAAACCTTCATTCTTGATTCCCCCTCTTTTTTTTCACTAACTCTCTCTCACCCCACACTTTGACTTTTGTATATTCATTAGTGATTCAAGTGCTTCTAGGAGGTAAAGGTTCAAACAATTAAGCTTATTCAAACACATCGATTTAGATCATTATAGGGTTATCAAAGAACAGACTTCAAGCTCAAAGGGGTTAACTATGGTAATATGCACAGGTGGATTCTCAAGTATAAAGGGTTGCACAAAGAAATGCCTCAATCATCTCTAGAATCAAACGACTTCTATTTCGCTTTGCAAACACACAGGGCAAGTTCTAGGTATCATATGCAAGCATAGGATGCAAGTAACAACTCACACACACTTAGCATGTAACTCATTCCGAATCAGTTCATCAACACAATCATACGAGTGTTCATGCAAGACAAGATGTGCAAAATTAAGGCATATATTATGAGTTCACAAACAAGCTTAGACGGCGCACCCTCAGTTCGTTTTTGTTATTCTCAGGTGTGTACATCTAGGGTTGCATTCTAGCCTTCACCTATCTTGGTCCTAACTACAAAAGAAAAATCTACCTAACCCGGTTCAAGAAAAGCCCTTGAAAAAGAACCGTGGTCAAAAGAAAAACCAAGGGAGAATTACTACACTACCTAAAAAAATAATAAACTACATGGACTACTTCCCTCAAGAGTACTGCCCAAGTGGTCCGTCCTCAGGAAGAGTCCTTTAACTCGTTTTCAGTTTACATTAATTCCGACTTTGACCCTCAAGAGACCCGTCGACAAGTGTCCGTTGTTGGGCCAAGTCAGCTACTCCTAATATAAACACACTCAAATATATACAACACATCACTCTAATGTTACAACCAACAACATCTATATACATTACAATACACAGTTAGAGCAAGTCTCCCACCCCACACTTAAAATCATGGCATGTCCCCATGTCATATCAAGAAAGTAAAGAGCAGAAGGGTTAGAAGACTTCCCTGAGACTCAATCAGAGTCGGAGACGGTGCTGGGGTCTACATGGCAAGCTCTCCCCAATGCACGTAACCAGGCCATAAACCGGCTCTCAGATCTAGACTGCCTCTTCGACATGGCGTCCATCCGCGTGTGTAAGCCATCCACCGTGGTGCGGAGATCCGCGACCTCTTCCTCAAAGGAGCGCAGCATAGGCTGGGAGGACTGTGAGGGTGATAGGCCTGCTCCAGAATGGGGGCGCCGAGAGGGCGCGACACTGTCAACAGACCTCCTGGACGGTGCAAAAGGAACCGGATCATCATCCTCATCATCTATCTCAATTGTGGTGCGTGTACCCCGGCCCACTCTGATGCTAGAAGCTTTGAATGCTGCTTTGGGTGGCAAATCTCCATCGGCAGGATTGGTGGGGGTGTTTCTCATCNGCATTTTGTTATCACTTTTAGCATTAAAACTACACAAGAAGGTGATCATTTAAGGTGTGATTATAGTCAAATTCACCTATTATCAACACCCCACACTTAAACCTTTGTTCGTCCTCGAGCAACTAAACCACACTTCTAGGCCTAACTGCTCAATGCATTGCCCCAATTTATGTCACACCTGCTATTATTAATGATCGACCTAAGCCGTGCACAATCATACCTCAAATGCAGACTCTCATGCCAAGACACACTTGTGCTCACTCTAATTACTCTAACAAAAGTGAAGACTCACTTTTTCTTCCCGAGTCACATGCCCTCACATAAACAAAATCTGAGAGAAGTTCCACACACATAAAATTCAACAATAAGGAACCATATATAGAAAGAATTCACTCACTCTCAGCAAAAAGCATTCACATGCCACACAGACACACCATAAGCTCGCCCCTAGTGTAATACTCTACTAATCGAGCCATTCAGTCAAAGAACAAGAGGTCTTTATAGGTTGTAATGTAGGCTAAGGGACGGGTAGGATATATTTGGATATAGTGACTAACCTCCCTAAGCACTTTTAATACACA